TCCAATATGATACATGCATGTAAAGAAACAGAATATACAAAAGGTGATACACACAACATATGTTCACTCCTGGATATTCACATATAGTCTCAGGAAGGATATACAAAAACCTGGTAGAAAAGAGTTACCTTTAGGGAGGGTAAATAAGCACCAAGGTAGAAGGAAAATTTATGTTTTAATGAAAGCCTTAAATACTGCTTGAATTTTAAAACCATTGTACATATCTTTTCTTTGTATTTTTAACATAATAATAAGGAAAAGTCATTTGAATTTGAGATAAATGAATTTAAAATTTTGAAGACAGATTAACTTCAAACTGTTGGGGGCTTGGCAGCATGGAAGGACACTGAAAGAAATGGACATCCACAAAAGGGAAGCTGGTTTGGAAAGGAAGATGAGAGTTTTGTTTTGAACTCACAGTCCTGAAGGGCTGGCAGGGCATCTAAGTGAGCTGGAGGTGACAGAACTATATACAAACTGTACACATATTCAAAAGGTGATCAGTCAACACAGAAATAGATGAAGCACAGGCTGGAATCAAGATTTCAGGGAGAAATATCAATAACCTCAGATATGCAGATGACACCACCCTTATGGCAGAAAGCAAAGAGGAACTAAAGAGCCTCTTGATGAAAGTGAAAGAGAAGAGTGAAAAACTCAACATTCAAAAAACAAAGATCATGGCATCCGGTCCCATCGCTTTATGGCAAACAGATGGGGAAACAGAAACAGTGACAGACTTTCTTTTCTCGGGCTCCAAAATCACTGCAGATGGTGAGTGCAGCCATGAAATTAAAAGACACTTACTCCCTGGAAGAAAGGCTATGACAAACTGAGACAGCATATTAAAAAGCAGAGACATTACTTTACCAACCAAGGTCCATCTAGTCAAGGCTGTGGTTTTTCCAGTGGTCATGTATGGATGTGAGAGTTGGACCATAAAGAAAGCTGAGAGCTGAAGAATTGATGCTTTTGAACTGTGGTGTTGGAGAAGACTCTTTAGAGTCCCTTGGACTGCAAGGAGATCAAACCATGTGTCAGTTGCTTAGTCATGTCTGACTCTTTGTGACCCCATGGACAGTGGCCCGCCAGGCTCTCCTGTCCATGGAATTCTCTAGGCAAGAATACTGGAGTGGGTTGCCATTTCCTTCTCCAGGGGATCTTCCTGAGCCAGGGATTGGACCCAGGTCTCCTGTATTGCAGGCAGATTCTTTACCATCTGAGCTATAAAGAAGTCCCTGAGATCAAACCAGTCAATCCTAAAAGAAATCAGTGCTGAGTATTCACTGGAAGGACTGATGCTGAAGCTGAAACTCCAATACTTTGGCCACCTGACGCAAACAACTGACTCACTGGAAAAGACCCTGATGCTGGGAAAGACTGAAGGCAGGAGAAGGGGACAATAGAGGAGCAGATGGTTGGACGGCATCACCGACTTGATGGACATGAGTTTGAGCAAGCTTAGGGAGTTGGTGACGGACAGGGAAGCCTGGCCCCACGCAGTCCATGGGGTCACAAAGAGCTGGACACGACTGAGTGAAATGAAAAGACAGCAAAGAAAGAAAGAGAGACACTGAAGACAAGAGTGGTAAAAAGACAAGAAAGAAATGAAACTTAAGAGTTAAAAACTCAAGAGGGCAGGGAGGAATACATTAGGAGCTTGGGATTAACATATACACACTACTGTTTACAAAATAGATGACCAATAAGGACCTACTATATACTATATAGCACAGGGAACTCCACTCAGTGCTCTGTGATTAGCTGCATGGGAAAAGCATCTGAAAAAGAATGGATATGTGTATACTTACAACTGAACCACTGTGCTATACCCTGAAATTAACACAACCCTGTAAATCACCAATATGCCAATATAAACTTGGAATTTAAAGAAAATTAGGATTCAGAAAAAAAAAATCAAAATGCAGAGGCATGGTGCAGAAATCAAGACAGCAGAAATCAACTGTCTCAGGAAGGAAGTTAGCAAAAGAACAAGGGAACAAACACAGGAATGATCTTCAGAGAGTAAAAAGAAAATTTTATCATTTTGTGGGGTTTTTATTGTTTTTCATTTATTTTTATTAGTTGGAGGCTAATTACTTTACAATATTGTAGTGTTTTTTGCCATACATTGACATGAATCAGCCGTGGATTTACATGTATTCCCCATCCCGAACCCCCCTCCCAGCCGTTTTGTGTTTTAGGTTGAACTGCAAGGTAGAAATAGAAAGGGAGGTCCTTAGAATACTAAGGAAAAAAGAATCAATGTAGAAGTAAGGTTCCTAAGGAAATTGGAATCATGAGCTTTTCAGGGGGGGGATTAATATTAGCAAATGGCTTGTTAACTAAAAGCGAGAACCAACTTGATTAATTTCTAAATAACTTCTCAGCTCACACCTGATCACATCCTAAAACCTCTATAAACAACAATAATAAAATGTTTAAGTAGATTATTGAGCTGCCAAACAGATTTCACTGAAGGAACTTCTGGTATGAAGATACTGTTGTCCAAATTACTCACTCAATTTGAGTGGAAAGAAAAGTGAGCCGGACTTTCTTAAGTCTTGGAATTCTAGCAACTGAACTTGTCAATGAAATATACTAAATAGGAAAAAAATTATACAGGCCAGTTGTACAACTGACTTAATCTTTTCCAAGAGTGATTATGAACAGAATTTGTCTACCACAATTTTTAAATATATTTTAAGTCATTTTTATTGAACTGATTTTAATTACACTGTTTTAACTGGTGGCAGCTGCCCCAAACAAAGACAAAGCCCTTGTGAAGGCTATTCAACATCCTCAAAGTAATCCAGTTTGTCTTTGTATTTAAATATATTGGTAAAATAGTTATACTTTTGAAATTATATAATAAAGCAAATCATGCAGACAAGTGTGGTGGCCACAATGTTCATTTGGGTTTCTCCATAACATGCTGGAAAAACCTGAAGGAACTTTTGGGTCACACCAATATATTATTCAAAAAGCCATGCATTTCGTTAAAAAATACTTTTGAAAGAAGCTTCAGCTTTATTATTGACACATTCTGTACTTCATGCTCTCAAAGTAAGAAATGCCCTAAAACTAACTCTATGTTTCTTTGCTGATATGAATGAATAGAAGTCACATCAGCAGAAACTGAAATTTAACATATAAGAGACAACACACGTGGACCAAAATGTTAGAAACGTCAAGAGATAAAAACAGAAAGACGGCAGTTCTGTGTCTTCACAAGGCTTAATGAGGAGTGTAGTAGAAACCCCATAAACACCTGCCGGTTGAGTGAACTGATCACTAAGGAAATACCCAGAATGCAGGAAGATATCTACTCTGGAAACACGCTGTCATGAACCATTCTCAGAACAGCACCAGGAGTCCTGAATGCAGCATCTGTTCCAAGTGCCCTGTCCTCAGGAAATGAAACGTCAGCTGATTTTTGTTTCAACTCTGTAGTTGAGGGTGCTAACCCCAGAAACCACAGCAAACATCAGTGCGCTAGTATCAAGACAGGTTGAGGATCTCAGGTTATAAAATTTTGTTTTCTAAATAACACTCAAATTAGGTGTCTCTGTGATGATGCAGGGCAGAGTTGAACATTAACCCGACCGTCCATCCCTCCTGGCTTGAGCAAGGGTTACACTTCAGTTCCCCTTGGCAGGGAGAATATTTCTTTTTTTCTTTCAATCTTTGCAGAAAGTCAAGTCTACAACTTTGAGATGTTTTTAATTCTTGAGATGCACAAAATCTTTAAAAATGTCTAGATGACTTCAAGTTCAGCAAGTGTTCCTTTTTAAACCTACTAGAAGTGAAGGCTATTTCTTCCAAAACTGACTTTGCTTTATATGGTGGCTGTACCTCATTCTTACACAATGACAGTAAACCTTAGGGGGGAATAAAGAGCTAGAGCTACAAAGTAAATAAAAAACTGAACTCACTTACACTAATAAGACTGGCTGAAGGCCTTACTTGAAGGACTCTTACCAGGAGTCTCCTACAGAGGGTTTACAAAAAAAAAAAAAACAAGCAGCAACTCTGTCTTAGACCTAAATTCAAGATTTAGCTTCGGACATATGGAAACTAGACATTTCTAAAGATTCTCATACCATATGAACTGAAACCAGTTCATTACTGAAATTTCTAGCAATTACACTCAGGAGTTCCTGGACTGGCCTGAGGCTCACACAAGACTATTAGTTTTTCTCCTTCTCCATCTCACCACTGGCTTTGAACATTCCCCTGCTCAAGTAATAAGCAGGATTTGAAAGGCAGAGGGAAAGCTGAGAAATGAACTTCTCACGAACAGGTCTAGTTAAAAAAGAAAATGAAAACGTGTACAGAAAGAAATCCATTCCCTCTGAAAATTACATCTTATGACGGTCTAAGCCTTCTTCCCACCACGATCAGAGTGGCGTCCCCATCACTCTCCCTCTGTGTTCTTTAATCACAGCACGTCTCATCACCTTGTACAGCTGACCTTTGAACAACACAGGTTTGAACTGCACAGGTCTGAATCCACTTACACTTGGATTTTTTTTTTTCCCCAGTAAGTACGTGCTGTCTAATTGGTGGTTGGCTGAATTCCCAGATGCCGAATTGTGGGTACTGAGAGGAGAGCTGAATATTGAATTTAAGCACCTGTGGGGCTGCAAAGGCTGGAAATGCTTTTTAGTCAACATCCACTGCAGTTCCATCACATAGCAGATGTTCTGTTTATGTTTACTGAACTTTACTTCTGCCCCCACCCACCACCTGCAATGAAGAATTATTTGTTGTTGTTCAGTCGCTAAGTCGTGTCCCGATTCTTTACACTGTAGCATGCCAGGCTCCTCTGTCCTCCACTATCTCCCAGATAATTACTAGGTTGGCCAAAAACTTCATTTGAGTTTTCCCATAAGATGTCACTGAAAAACCTGAACTAACTTTCCAGCCAATCCGATATTACTCTTTGGACTTGCTCTCAACACTGCCACAGGGAAAAAGTGATTGTGGAGATCAGTTACCGGGTTATAGATGACATTCTGTAGATTGTTTAAGGACAACATCATTCTCTTCCACCTTATTGTTGACTGGGCTCTCTTCCGGGTATGGTCTAAGATTTTAAATACGTTTCACTTAAAGAATTCCCAGATTGAAGCCGAGGCACGTGCCCTATGTAAAATCAAAAGGGAAAGAAAAATAAGCATACACAATTTTTCTTCATATTATAACTATTTTTAAATATATAAATTATTTTACTGATATTTATCAAATAACAGGATGCTATTACAATCAAAGATCTGACTCCAACTTTTATCAAATGTACTCTACTAAATAATTTTGTATTATAAGGACAGGGCATATTAATTTAAAAAATACATCTGTAGAACATTTTTAACTTGGAAACGGTATTAAAAATACTTATTACTGGGAGTTCCCAGTGGCCTAGTGGCTTTCACTGCTGTGGCCCAGGTTCAATCCCTGGTTAAGGAACCGGGATCCCACAAGCTGTGCGGCACAGCCAAAAGAAACAAAAACTTACTATTAAAATACTGAACCAAATAGCAGGAAATAACTCCTATACAATCAGAGACCTTCACTTAAATTTTCTCACCTGTACAATGAGAATATAACAGTATTCACCTCATAGGTTTGTTCTACGGATTAAATGAATAAATAAAACAATGGAACAGCACACGCTTTAGAAGTTTCACATATTGTTATTAGTAAGGAATGCTCTTCCTCCTCCAAATTAAACAAGTTGAAAGAAAAAAAAAAAATCCAATGCCTCAAATATTAACTTCCCTGTGGCTTAGAAAAAAAGTAGGGTGTGGAGCATCAGCCACAGTTTTCAAGATAAAGGGACCCATCAGGGAAGACCTGAAGATGAAGGAGAACCAAAAGAAACAAAACTAAAGCTTCTGACATTTTACTTCCACTAATTCTATCATTATACCAAAGGGCAATACACACTGATCACATCTGTCACTTTGAATCTATTAAGAAAAAAAAATTTGCACTTTCAACACTGGATGTAACAAACTGAGTAGTTAAGTTAAATTACATCAAGAGGGATTTTGCAGGTGAAATTACAGTTACAAATCAGCTGACGTCAAGACAGGTAGCTTGTCCTCGATTATCTAGCGGGCCCCATGTAATTACATGAGCCCTTAATAAAGAAGGAAGCCAGAGAGATGCGGTAGAAGAAGAAATCAGAGATGTGAAGCATGAGAATTCAACACATGATTGCTGGCATTTGAGAGGGAGTGTAGGTGGGCGCACAAGGAAACTGTAAGCAAGGAACTCCAAAAACAAACTCAAGTATCCTGGAAGTGGGCTCTTCCCGAGAGAATAGAGCCCAAACTGCAAAACACCTGCACTTAGCTTGTGACACCCTAATCACCTAACTTAGCTAGTAACACTCATCCTGGTCCCCCTAAGTTCTGATCAAAGATCTGTAAGAAATAAGTGGGTGTAATCAAAACATCAAGTTTTATGCCCTAAATATATACAATTTCTATTTGTCACATATACCCCAATTCTCCAGAAATTAAAAAAAAAAAAACAAAAAACAAAAACTGTATCCCTCCTGGTTTATAAATGTGACCGCAATCTATTAACTTACTAGGTTAGTCAAAAATCTCAAAACTTTTTGTTTTGCTCCATCAAACTCGGGAAGTATCAACAAGACCAAAAAAGAAAGGATACAGAGATTCCACGGCCACATTCAGAATTTACTTGTGACCAGAGAGTGATCCAATTTAAGCCACAGGCCCGTGTGAAACCAATCATTCCCGGAAACATCCACAGGCACGAGTCCTGCTGTAATTAATTAACACTTGGTTCGCATCCCAAGAAGCCATCATGATGCTGAAGCAGTTAAAGGACTTGCGTTCCCTAACGTTTAATCCTGCAGTCAGTGACTCTGCATCTCACAAAAAGCGTCTTCAGAGTCCGGGAGGACCACGGAGGTCTGTCATTCAACTTGAAGAGCCCGTCATTTAAAACACTGGGAAGGAAACGACCCCGATCCCACCGAGTGAAGGCGGCGCTCGGCCCCAGGCGCGGAGGTCGCTGGTGCGAAGGCAGCCCCGACGGAGGGGGTGGTCAGCAGCGGAGCCAGCGCCGGGGGCCCGGGGGCCGCGACCCGGGATCACGACTCATCCCTGGGGCGCCGCGCTCCGGGCAGTGCCCGCCGCCCAGCCGGATCCTCCGCGGTGACGACACGCGAGACGGGGAGACGGGAGCCAGTCCCACCGTCTGACTCTGACGCGGGGCCAGAAACGCCCGGCCCCTGCTCGGCCGGCGCACCCCCCACAGCGAGAGCCCCCCACGACTCACCCCGGGACTGGAGTCGCAGGCGCTGAGCGTTGGCAGTGGTCGGTCCGCCGCGGCACGTCGTCCGCGTTCCCGGCCGGGCGCGCGCGGGCGGCGACCGGAAGCGAGAGGAGTCAGTCCGCCGCCATTTCCCGGTGCGCGCGCCCCGGGAGTCGCCGTCGGCCTTGCGTCTGCGTCCGGGTCGCGCTCGCGGCTCCGCTGAGCTGGCGGCCCGGCGCATTGCTGCCGGCCACCGGGCTGAGCCTCATGCACAGCCTGGGGACGCGGAGCGCGACCGGCTTGCTGCGGGACGATCGGAGAGGGAGGGGAAGAGTGTGTTTCCAAAATGCCCAGACTCTTTCCTGCAGTTGGGACTGAGGGGCCGGGAAGTGCGGAAGAGAGGGGAGACCACCCGCTCCCTCCGCCCGCTTGTCCCCGGCCTCCAGCGCCGGTGTGGACGCGCACAGGCCCCCCTGGGCCCGGCGAGGGCCCCCTCCACGCGGACGGGGGGCGGGGGCGTCTCTAACCTTCCCTGGTCGCGCGGGTCAACCGGGTAGTTGCCGGGTATTTATTTTTCTAGGTTTGCTTCCTTGTCTGCCTGGGGTCAGAGTCTAGCCAGTGCAAAGAAAGATAACCTGATTTGGAAGCACCCCGTTTTGGGCCACACCTTCGGGTGTAAGTAAAATGATGGGGAAATGGGTTCAGTGTAGCTGGACTTCGTCCAGTCTGGAGCCGCCAGACATTTACTCTAACTTGGACTTAAGTCACTGCGGCTTCTCCGCCAGTTTTGTGTTGCCGTTTTCTTAGTTTTATCAGGACTTCCCCGAGGATTACGTCAGCAGTACAAAGCCCAGTTCTGTGCACGGTAGGTGTTCAGAAATAACCAACTTTCCTGTCCAGGGCCCATACTGACTGCCAGTTTGACCTGCTGGCTGTAAAGAAACGTCAGCGACAAGCACAAAGTTACGTAAGCTTGAACACCTGGTCCACTTTGTTTTCTGATAGGGATCATGAAGTTCATATCTTCCTACTTGTCTCTGCCTGACTTTTATCCAGGTTTACTTTGAAAGGCAGGTTTTGCTGTCCCTGCTCTGGACTTTCTGCTCTGTATCTTTGGGCTTTATTATTTTTTATTTAAATTGAGAAATTCATTACACACTCCATACCACTGAACTCACATTCTAATTTCCTATTACGTTTCTCTCTTCCTATTCATTTTCCAAGTTTGAGTCACTCTTCAGGATTCAACTTCAGTAGTTGAATTTAACCTTTAACACACACTACCTGGAATTTGTACTTAGCCTTGTTCGCTCTATTCAACATGGATTTAAATTGAGAAGAGGAAATTGTACTGTATATTCCCCAATGGCTAGTGTTATAATGCTTTGCATGAAGTTGACACTCTAAATGTTAGGTTAAAATGACAGGTTATTGATAAAGTGAGGAGCAATTGAATGTCTTCGCAACTTTGCCTGGGTTGATTACCTTTCTCCACAAAGTTGAAATAAATACAGATCAATGCTCCATTTCTTTGGTAAATGGAATTTAGGTATAAATGGGACTGTGTAAATAGGCTTCCCCAGTGGCTTTGGCCATCTGATGCAGAGCTGACTCACTGGAAAAGACCCTAATGCTGGGAACAATTGAGGGCAGGAGGAGAAGGGGGAGACAGGATGCGATGGTTGGATGGAATCACTCACTCAGTGGACATGAGTTTGAGCAAATTCCTGGAGATAGTGAAGGACAGGGAAACCTGGCTGCTCTAGTCCATGGGGTTGCAAAGCATCGGACACGACTGAGCGACTAAACAGCAGTGGCTTAGTAAAAACATCTGCCCACAGTGCAGGAGACGTGGGTTCCATCCCTGGGTCAGGAAGATCTAGGAATGCATGGCAACCCACTCCAGTATTCTGGCCTGAAAAATCCCATGGACAGAGGAGCCTGGTGGGCTACAGTCCATGGGGTCTCCAAGAGGCCAACACGACTGAAGCATGGCATGAGACTGTGAAAGGGCCAGAAATCCTGGGTTGGTGCCGTAATGTTGGACTAAAAGGTGTGCAAATCCAAAACATTTACTCTTAAAAAAACTTCTTTGATCCCTGTTTTGTTCAGTGAACTATGTTTTTTGTATCTTTAAAAATCAAGGAATATATCCTCAGTGCCCACAATGACAAGGCACAGTGGTGAGGAACACCAGTATACAAAGAGCTTTGTAGTATTTGCCTTTCAGGGCCCTTCTAAACACAGAGAAGAGATATAATACACGGAAGTCCCACCTCTTCCTTGGGTTATTACAATAGCTTCTTAATTGATCTCCCAGCTTTTGCCCTTCCCCCTGCAGTCTGTTCTCAACACAACAGCCAGAAAGGCCATGACAACACACGATCCAAACAATGTTACTCCTCTCTCAAACCTTCCACTACTTTTTGCTCATTCTTTGAGTGCAAGTCCATTACACTTCATGATCTGGCCCCACCCCATGCACCCCGACCTCGCTTCCTACCATGTTCCTCCTCCCTTACTCTGTCCTGACCACACCCGTGCGCTGTCACACTCCCAGATCAGAACCTCTCCTTGTGACGTCTCCTTTACCTCCTTAAAAGTCAGTGTCAGTTCTCAGTGAGGCCCTTCCTGACCACCGTATTTAAAATTGTAGACACCCTCCCGAAACACACACACACAACCCCCTATCACTCTTTCTTGCTTTATTACTCTCTAGCATTTACCATATTCTATCTAATATGCTGTA